TCCTCTACCTACAGGTAGGGCAAGCATGCACACTGATTATGTAGAAAACCATGATTTAAATCTTGCTTATTTAAATCATGATTTAAAACAATTTCATTTAAATCAAATCCATGCTGCTAGGAAGTCATCTTAATGCATTTAGTTTATATATATTTAGTAACAGCAGTGCTAAGCAGACTGTACTATGTTGTTATTATTATGTGTTTGCTCCAATATTGCACTGATATTTAATCTGAAATATTTGAGGGGAGAAGTTAGGCTTTCTAAGGCTTCAACCCTAAACAGATTTATCTGGCAGTAAGTCCCATTGAACCCAGTAGAGCTTACTTCTAAGTAGACCTGCTTAGGATTGCACTGGAAATATGATTTAAATGTTTCATTATATATTTTATCAGAATACTTTTTAAACATTGGAACACGATAGAATATACTTCTGTTACATTATTTACTTTTAACTCAAAGTGCTAGTACTAACATTCAAATTCTTAAATAGCTTGGGGCCAGGTTATCTGAAAATCGCCTCTTCCCATATGTACCTACTTGGAACCTGAGGTCAGCTTCAGGAGTCCTTCTCTGGGAGTCCCTGCATAGGAAGTGAGGTGGGTGGCTACTAGGAGTAGGGCCTTTTCTGTTGTGACACCACAGTTTTGGAGGTATCTCTCCAAAGAGGTGTGCCTGGAACCTACTTCCTGTTTTTTTCAGTGCCAAAAAAAAGACCTTTTTATTTTCCCAGCATTTTATCAATCTAACTTTTTAACCTTATTTTTATTTATTCCATTGTATTCTGTTCTGCTGCTATGCTTCTTTGCTGAACAATTGGAATTGCAATTATGGGTTTGTTATTTTAAATTAGTGTGTGTGTGTGTGTGTGTGTGTGTGTGTGTGCGCCTTTTATACTTTTGTTTAATTTTAACTTATGTTAACCATCCAGAGAGCCTTGGCTATTGATAGATTAATACATTTGAGCTACTGAAAGACATGCGCATGATATGCTGTCAGTTGATCATCTGTTTCAACACAGTTCAACTTTTTCACTTAGTGTGTTAGGACACCTTCAGTTTTACTGTTGCTAGTGTTCAGTTCCATTTCATATTGAAATATTTATGTAAGTCAATGACAAATTGCATTTTCTCATATGCTTGCCAGGGATAAAAATCTGAATATGAATTACACATCTGGAAAGAGCCGGCAAGATTTTCTAATAATTATATTTGAAAGCTGCATCCAACCTTGTTATCAATTAATTTATAAAATTGAAAAATTTTCTGCTGAAAAATAAAGAAACAGAAAACATGCCCTTTTCCCCCCAGAAACACATTTTTGCAGACTACCGAGAATAAGGTTCTTGGATGCTGCTACTACGTCCTCTAGTTTGAACCAGCTGTTGCCTTACAGCAATGTGGCTTAGTCTTACATGGTCCTGAATAGTTAATGCTATCACAGGAACAGAAAGTAACTAGAACCTATTCTTTTTAGACAACAAATTATTAATGTGCCTATTTGACATAATTCAGTATAGGTAACAGACTTGCACATCATCACCTCATTGACATCACAAATATCAAGTAATTGTTCATATTTAGCTACATAATTCCATCAAAACGTCAATTCAAACTGAAGGGCAAATTGAGGATCAAAGTTAATCAAGAGAGTGTAATTTATGGGGCTCCTGCTGTTGGGTCACTGCCTCTAGCAATCAGGTACATATATGGCCTCCTGGTTCAGTTGGTTAAATTCTGCCAGTGTTGTGACAAAGTGCAGCTCCAACCCAACAGATAATCGCTACTTTCAAAATTGGCAGCATCTATTTTTTGGTGACTGTGTGCATGTGTGTATCTCTGGATCTTTATGGTATGTATTCTATTTTGACTGGCTGACTGGCTGACTGACTGACTGCTTGATATAACATTCCCAGGATTCATTTGCTAAATTTTAGAAGCTGTGTCAGAGCACTTGGCTTACTTTATCCTTTTTTAATATAACATCTATTGGACAATATTAATGTTGAGTCAGTAACTATTGTTTGTTTATCAGTAACTGAGAATTGCATCATCAGGGGCATAGTTCTTTGTGGCCTCTAAGCATCACATGTATGGCTCTGAGCACATGTGTGGAGCCTGTTCAGGAAGACTATAAAGTCAGTTAATTACTATTCAGTGGGAGCTCCTCCCTCACACCAAGGCATGCCAGGGGATGGGAGGGGCTAAGTTCTTCTTTGACCTCCATCATGAGTACATCGGGAAGTTCCTCCTCTGCACCTTCTGGTTATACACTTACTTCCCTTCTGTGAGTTCTTTCTTTTTACTACTAAGATCTTTGTCCTCTTTCCAAACTCATATATCCATTATATTAAAATATATATGCTTACATTGTATCTGTATAAACATCTCTTTTTCTCTATTGCCCTACATCTTGCATTCTCTCCCTGCCCCCATGTACTTTGTCTCACCCTCCCAGCCCTGCCTTGGCACTCAGTTCCGTTTAGAAATTGCTTGAGTTGCAGTGCAGCAGCAAACTGTCTCCGCCCAATGGCCCCCCACTTTGTCTCTTTTGCCTGGAAGAGAGCCATGTGTTGCTATCCTGTGACCACCGCCAAGCCTTCAGTCAGCAAGCAAGAAAACACCAGGCTGGCCACTTGTAAACAGAGCTCTGAAGTAGAAGCCTCCATGGGACTGGCTTCCTGCAACTGCTGGAGTAGTCATCAATGACAGGGCCTAAAGCCAAAGATGGCAGCAAATGTACCACTGGTACAGAGTATCTTCTAGTTTTTCTAACTCTTCTGCACTTAACTGCCACACGTTTTCAGGGAATTTCTACCTCATTTTCTCTTCTCTTGGGATTCCCTTCTTCTACCTCAGCTTGCTGTTGCATTTCTCATATCTATACTACTCTTAGCTGTAGTAAAAATTTAGCTCTGTCTAAAAATTCTTAATCTTTTTTATTATCTTGAGCATGGGCACTTGATGTTCTAGTGTTCTGACCTTTTCTTCTACCAGGGCTACTAGGGACATAGAAACAAAGTGAGTCAGAAGGGACCTCCTGGGCCATCTAGTCTGATGCCCGGCCACAGACAGTTCTGCTCATGTAATCCCCAACATGCGGTTGTTCAATCTTTCCTTGAACACCTTCACTGATGGGGCCTCAACCACTTCCCTTGGAAGCCCATTCCATATCCTAGGGGTCCTAACCATCAGGAAGTGCTTCCTGACATCCCACCTGAAGCCTAGCTTCTTGAGCTTTGCCCCGCTGGAATGCATCCTGCCTTCCATTGCAGGGAAGAACAGGTCACAGCCCTCCTCCACATGACATCCCCTTACATATAAGTCGCTAAAAGATCCCTTTGGAGTCTTCTCTTCTCCAGGCTGAAAAGACCCAGTTCCCTCAGTCTGTCCTCATAGTTTACACTAGTTACGCATGTAGGCTATATTGCTCTCAGGTAAGAAAACATATCATAGGCTTTGCAGGTCACCACCAAGGCAGAGTCTTCTTGGTCTATTCTTTCTACTACCTTTTTGATTCTACCTTGTTGGGCCTGTTGTAACAACCAGTGCTTTTTCCTTTTCTTCATTAGTGGTTAACAAAGCAGTCCTACCAGTAAATGGGAGTGTGTTTGAAGAAAAAATAAAAAATGATTGGTACCTTCCCCTTGACCTGCTGCGCCAAACTCCTGATTGCTCTCCCTGTTCACTCGCTCCCTGGAAGCTTGTCTGCTTGTATCCCAGAGTCCTTAGACCAGCTGGGGCAGCTTGCTCTGATCTGCTTAGCTTTAGGAGTGAGGAACCAAGTGTCCTTTGTAAAACCACATGGGCCCCTAGGGATCTACTCCTCCAGAAATAGGTCCACAATGGCAGTCTCATGACTGTCAGAACCAAGGATCGCTTCTTGGCAGTCTGTGTCCAGTGGTGGGTCTTCCATCAAACAGTGATTAAATAGCTTTGGAAGTTTCCTGAAAAGCTGCACACATACATGCAGAATTCATGTGTGTGAATGCACAGGTGACCACCTGAAGAACAACAGTTACAGGTAAATAACCTGCCTTTCCTCAGTTTCTCAATCAAATCTGATTTGCCAATGTAATTGAGTAGAACCACCTGATATCAAGTTGGTTTTCTGACATATTAACAGCTGTTTCTTTCCCATGTTTGAATATTGGCTGAAAATATTGCCTTAAAAATTCCCTCCCAATTTGTGAAGATGGAAAAGCAGCAGTGACTAAAGCCTTCCCATGAACTCAGTTGGCTTCTGCAAGTGCCTGCAAAGTGTGCAGCTTCAAAGTCCTACTTGAAGGACTTCTCCTCCAACTAGTGCTTCTGTTGAGGAACCATCTTCACTGTGTACCAGCTTCCTCAGCTGAGGAAAGCCAGTGCATAGTTAAGCAGCTTGAGACTTCATCTCCATGGGGAGGAGATGAGCTGGGCAAGAGGCTTAGTGTGACCTAAGCAAGAGAAATTCCTTGTGTAATCACTAACCACATGTGGTGGATTTCCTGGTCTGTTGACACATGACAGAATTGTTGATGGTGTATAATGGGATAAAAGCCTTGTAGGACCATATATGGCTTGTGGATCTTATATTGCCTTATTTTACTGGTGGGGTAAGAAGATGAAGCATGCACATTTTAAAAAAATGCATTTTTATAGCATTTATTAAAATGAGACCCTAAAATGTCTTGCAAAAATATGAAAATACAATAGGATCTTGATCATGTTTATAAGTATAAATTCATAATGAAGTGATGTACTGCATGTTTCCTTTTAGACACATCAATGCTACTTTAAAGAATTCTTAGACCAAACCAGTATTGAAGATTTTCTTCTGGTTACATTACTATTCACTGTAATATATCCCTCTTTATTTTTTTAATAGTTCTTGCTGACAATCTGAAATCCAACCCAGGGATTAAATGGCAATACTTTAGTTCAGAAGAAGGAATTTTCACTGTGTTTCCAGCTCACAAATTTCGATGTAAGGGCAGTTATGAACACCGTAGCAGGTATGACTTAACTGATTTTTTTCCAGTTCTGTTTAATTTTTTTATATAACGCTTTGTGGTAGATTTGGGAGGTGCAATGGGCTGCCAGGGGAAGTTCCATTGCACTACTTTGCTTTCACAACATTACATTTAACCCTAAATTAGTATGCAGTTCATCTTATTTGATTTTTTTAATGCCTTAATAGGGTAACATTATATCAATTTTCATTCCAGTTCAGAGTTTATCCTCTGGCTATGTCATTCAACCCATTAAGTATGATGGATCTATCTGGCATTACATGGTAAAGTAGTCTTGTGATTGCTTCATCATTTGCAAAGGTCCCAGCCCAAGTCCATATGCAGGATGCCACTATTTGGCCTAAGACAGTGTTGCAGTGGAAGCATAATTATGGACTGAAGTGATGTATAGATTGCATGTACAGTGAAGCAATTATCTGACCGCTTTGCAATATCCTAACAGGTTTGTCCAGCACAGATTTCTAGTACATTACTTTGGTTATGCGAACAGTTTCTAAAATGTGTTCACTGATGTCTTTCACTTTCTTATGTTTTTTCTTTTACTAGAGTTTTTCCTGCAAAGTATCAAAATCAGAAGGCTAAAGACCTTACAGAGATACTATTCTGCTTGCCTGGACAGTATTCCAAACAGAAGTAACAAATGCAAAGCCAAGAGAGCCTAATTATTTTTCATTGACATAATTATTTTTAAGTGTATAATTGGAATGCAGTTAGATATAGAAGAAATTTAATATAGTTCTTCCCAACATTTTCCATAAGTGAGGAATCTAGCAAATCTATAGTCCAAATTTAAACATACACATAAAACTCTCACTACAAAATTGGAATGTGGATGACAGCTGAAGCTGAAAGGGCTGCTGCCAAATTAGAAAGATGTATAAAGAAAGATTCCATTATTCAATTAAGTTGAATAAATTAAGTACTCAGTTGTAAATGCTTTAAGGTATTGAAGGCAATCTGAAAAACAAAAAGTATATCAACAATAATGTCTATGGTTAAATACTCTGATCCAATGCAAGCAATCTACATGTGGAAACGGGTTTCCCTGTGTCTGCTTGTAGTGCCTCCAGGTACTGGAATAAAACAGAATTTACCAAATGGTGCAGCAACAAATATGAAGACATAAGCATTACTGTATAATGAGTGAGCAATGTGTGGTGCTTCAGATGTTTTAGCCTACAAACTTCGTCATTGAGTATGCTGGTTAATGCTGACAGAAGCTTATTTATTATTATTTTTGTCTTTATATGCTGCCCCATAGCCTGTGGGTTTTCTGGGCAGCTCACAAAAAATGGGAAGAACAACTATAGTATAGAATCCTAGAGAAACAACAATAACTATGGTAAAGTAAAAACAATAACATCTAAAACCACATAAAATCACCTAATATAAGGCACAAAACCAGAGGTTATAAACAATAAAACCAGCATCAGAAAGCAAATAAAACCATAGTCCTACAAGCAGGTACTAAATAAAGTCTTTACTTGGTGGCAAAAGCAGAATAACAAGGGTGCCAGGTTGGAACAAGGTTCACAGCATGGTGATTCAGAAGCCAGAGCACAAGAGGGTCCTGAAGGCCGCTTGCATTGCTGTGGCAGAGAACAGCAGTGCCAGAAAGCCTTTTATGGTGGTCTTCAGGACCTCCAGCTGCACTGCATAATTGTTCTTCCATCGCTTCCTGTGAGAAGCTGCAAGGGTGCTCCTGGTTCTGCAGGTACTTGCAGGGTCACTCAGGCCGGATCCTGACAAATTTGTCCCATGGTGAGAATGCAATAATGAAAGCTTGCCTTGTGTGCATAATTTTTATGTGCCAGATAACTAGCCATGATACTGTACTGTACTAATTTCTCTATCTGGTTACCTCATCCACTGATACAGGCATCGATACACCAGGTCAGCCTCATACTTTCCTTGTATGAAAGTGATTCCTTGTCAGAACAAGTTACTAATCTAAGCATTTAGTTGTATGCTACTAAATAATGCCTTTGGCTGTACCAAGATAAGCCAGCAAAATTAATCCAGTATATTTAGTCATGTTAGAGTAAATAATTAGACTGTCATCACCATTTGCCTACCTGTTCAGTGGATGCTTTGGCCTATCGATTGTACTAGCATTTGCAATCTTTATGACATACATGTTCTCAAAAATTCCATCAGGTAGATCCACATAATTCAAGAAATTATAAATAGGGAAGTGAAATGGAGCAAGAGCATGTTATCCAAGGCTTTTGTTGGCCAAGGCTACTAAGGGAGGCAGTAACTGATAAAGGATTTGCTAAACTAAAAAATAAGCACATCAACAAATTTGAAATCCCATCAAGCTCCTAAAATGTGTTCCCATCCATGTTGTAAAATGTTCTCATGTCCTTTTGGATTTATTTGCACAATATCTACTGTCTGTCTGTCTGTCTGTCTGTCTGTCTGTCTGTCTATCTATCTATCTATCTATCTATCTATCTATCTATCTATTTAGAAGGCTTCTATGCTGCCCCATTCACCAAAGCCTCTAAATGTCATCATTTTTTCTTTCAGAATTGCCAGTGATGGTCAAAAACTTTCTAACCATTTTCTTCCAATTTCAGGCCTGTCTACGTTTCTACAGTTAGACCTCAATCCAAACATATAGTTGTCATCATGGACCATGGAGCTTCAGTTACAGAGACACAACTCCAAATTGCTAAAGATGCAGCCCAAGTTATTCTGAACTCAATAGATGAACATGATAAGGTCAGTTGACTCAAAGTGATATGTGACAGCACAGTCTTTAATAAATAGGATGGGGTGGATGTATTTCTTCACCAACAGGAAAGAGCTCTTCTATGGAGGAGTTAATAGGTAAAGGTGTCCACTGTAGAGTCCAATCTTACACTCACAGAAAGCTTCACAATTGTAAATCTACTGCCAGTGGTGTAACCAGCACTTCACTTTTTTCTTCCAAGCCTTTCATGCTGATTTCAGAGGTGCTTGGAGTATTTCTAAAGTTTAGTGCTTAGTGCACTTCATTCCTCTTCCTCTAAGCCCCAAGTTTGAGAGAAGAAAATTGGGGGAGGTGGTTTTTCCTGTTATACTTGGGTTCAGCTATTGCTTGAGCACCTCTAAAGCCAGATGTGGCTACAGTGAAGAAATGTGAGGGGGATGGAACTACTCTCTTCCCTACTATACTGAGCAGAAAAAGTTATGAACTCCGGCTGTGTATATCTTGGAGAAAGAGGCAAGACAAAACTGTCCACAGTGATAACATCCTTGCAAATAAGGTGGTTTCACATGATTTATTTGGGGGTCTCATAAGTATAATTTTGTTAGGACCCCACTCCTTCCTGCTACTCATGGTAAAGGTACTAAAATCATATGATGATGTGTCCTAATGTTCTTTACTAGAAGCCTAGAAATTCAGAAATGGTTTCTGATCAGGGAATACTGCTGTAAATGTTTATATAAGAGCAGAAGCCATATTGATTCCTTAGCAAAATCTTTCTTCCATAAGTTTGACCCTTCTCAAATTTGACAGGATTATACCTCAAGCATTTTTTTCTTGAACAATTGAATTTTAAATTCACAGAGACTTCTCTGTTGGCTTGTCACAGTATGTGCCATAGTAGGAAACATAAAAGAATTTTAAACAGTAAGGTAATCCCCCCTTCTCTCTCTCTCTCTCTCTCTCTCTCTCTCTCTCTCTCTCTCTCTCTGTGTGTGTGTGTGTGTG